AGATGTGCTGCAACCCCGCTGAGATGCCAGCGGGCACTGGCAGGGCAGCAGGGCTGGGGCTGAGCCTCCTGCACGTGTCCAGCTTCACGGGAGGGGATGAGCAGAAGGCTGGGAGCGGTCCCAAAAGCAGGGGACACGCTCCCAGGCTGCTTGCTCCTTCCCCGCTGAAATGCTTTCTGCCCCGTCTAGCTCAGAAAATCCCCGGCCTCACAGTGGGAAAATGAAAGGGAAAAAAAGACACATCTGGCCCCAAACCATCTCTGGGGCTCTCAGCTTAGCAAGCTCCGCTGCGCACAGACTGATCCATCTGCCAGCGCAGCTCCCCGTCCTCTCTGCTGGGGCTGGGCTGCCGAGCCCCGAGGCTCATCGGGATGAGCTCGTCCGTGCTGCCTGGGCATTTAATCTACTCAGTGACCTTTAACAGCCCCGGGCTGTACAGCGATCTGAATTTTCACCGCACAGACTCCAAAGGAAAGCATCCCCATACACGAAGTACCTGCGTGATGCTAGAGGACGGACAGGGGGGTCTCGGGGGACCTGGTGAGGACATTTCATCTCTCTCTTTCCTCCCTGACCTACCATTCCTGCCAGCCTGCTCCTGCTTGCAGGCTGCATGGGCGGATTGCAGGAGCCCCGTCCCTATATATATTTATAAATACAAATACATTTATAAATACATACATTCTGCTCACGACAAAGTCCCAGTGCTGCAGGGGACTGTGCCTCAGCGTATTATGGCTTGGTTCCCAACCAGCCTAGCGCTAGGTCTGCATCCAGGGAGAAGGCTGGAGAGAGCAAGGACCGACTCCTGGCCAAGCTCCAGGCCCGGAGAGGTGACCCTGGCCTCCCTTCCTTTCCTCCCCATGTAGCAAGTGACCCATCCTGCAGCTGCTCCCCACGACGTGCCCGTGCCACTGTTTCCCCGGGTGGAGATAAATGCTCGGTGGCAGCAGCAGCGAGCTGCCCAGCTGTCAGAACAGGGTGCAGAGCCAGCAGGTGATGGGTGAGGACCACTGCCCATGTCACAGCTGGACATGGGGACACAGCCACCACCAGGTTTCAGAACCTATTTCACAAAGCCATGACCAAAGCTGAACCAGGTATCTCACACCATACACAAACACATCCACATGCAAGCGTTAACCAGCCAGATATCCTCCTACAAAGGCACACAGCTGGATCACAGCTGAAAATGCAAAGGATCATGGTGATGGGTGGCAGTTTGGCTCTGAACACAACAGGGGGACTTCACCGAAAGCACCGCTTTGGGTAGATCACCATATTCCATCCCCGTCACTCTAAGAAGGTGCCTGGATCTGGAAAGCCCATCAGCCTAACGAGATCAGGCTGTTCAGCTTAATGAATAGGAGGTGAAGAGGTGACTTGAGCACCATCCAAAACATTGAAAGGCAGAAGGGATGCTGGATAAAAGAGCCACTCGGCTGAAGAGACAAAGGTATGCAGAGGCAGCGGAGGGAAGGGAACAGTCAAAGTAAGAGCGAGGCGCCGGGGAGAACACCTACCACTGCAGTAATACAGAAATGGTTCTGACAAGTTCACCGCCACTTGAAATTTTACATCTGATTGAGTGTTTGGGTTTTTTCCCTTAGCAAATTGAACGGGAATAAATTAAGGGATGTGCTACCGCCTGTATTTAGCCGTGGGTTAGATCGATGATCCAAATGTTCTTTGCTGGCTTTGCAGTCAATGAATCACTAAATTTGGATCCACATCCTCACCAGATGGATCAGAACCAGAAACCAAGGTACTGCTTTCCCTCAGGGCTTAACGCTTTTTCTGTCTGGTTCTAGAGCAGCTCTGGTAGTTTTAGTGGGAGCTTTATGCCTGTTTTCTGAAAGCTCGATTGTAAAGTTCAAATGATTTTCTAAGCACATCAGTTCTCACAAAATCCCTGCAGAGGGAAGTTTGGATGGTCCTAAAAGTCCCAACACCAGCAAACAACTAAAATAAACTTAAACTGGGGGGTTTCCTGAGTCACGATTTTCTCGATGTGGCAGAGGGGGAGCAGACTTTCTTCCTGACTCTTTCACAGCCAGGGCTGGCAACACTGAGCCAGTCTTCCTGAAAGCACATTCTGGCAGAGAGATTTTGACAGTGGGCACAGATATCTGATTTCTTCCATCTTTTCAGTAACAGGCTGTGACCGTGCCTCTCTGGCTGTTTGGCATTTGCTGGAAAAAGATTACGATGAGAAGGAGAATCAATAAATTCCATCACAGATGACAACTGTGGAGGGAAAACATTGCTGGGGGTTGCTAATCAACATCAGCAGCTGGGAGGGATGGAGCGCCCCTAGGGAGGGAGGTCAGAACCCCTCACCCTAAATGCTCCCACGCGTCTTGGCAAAGATCCTACCAAGAGCTCCTCCAGCGCAAGTGCCCCCCCTCCATCTGCAGTGGTGCTCCTGCCAGGTTCCCGGTCCCATTTCAGCAGTCTCCTGTCTCCTCGCTTTGAAAGCCTGATTGCAAATCCTAAACAAGTGCTCTATGATGGGCTGGCTCCCTGCCCAGAGACTGCATCAGAAATTCTGCTTGATGTATCAAACCCTGAGCAAGCCGCGGGGAGGGAGGAGAGCCGGGGGAGGTAAAGAAGGGGTGCTGTAGACAACCCCAACTTCCCTGCTCCCCTCCTTCCAGGACACAGGGGAAGCACCGGGGATGCTCCCTTCCCTTTGACCTGTCCCCAGCCAAAAGGGCTTCACACCACAGCCTGCTGGGTCTCAACCCAGGGAAAAAAAACAGTGAGAGGGACCCGGGATGCCAGATGCAGCATCACACCCTTCCTATCAGCTCAAGGGACCGCATCTCATGGTTGGTCTGGGTCTGCCAACCCCACGCTCCCCTGCTGGACTCCTCCGTCCATCAGCAATGCAGGCGTTACGGCAGTAGCTGCTCTGCTACTAGGAGCTCCTGACTGCAATCTTAAATATCAAGCCAAGGCCACGCTCGCAGCAGAGATCCTGCTCTGCAGGGTGACACGAGTCCTGCCGAGGATGCTGACGAGAGAGGCTCCGGGCACCTTGGTCAGTGCCACCAGGCAGCGTGGTCTGCAGGGGGGACAAAGAATCAGAGAATATCCCAAGTTGGAAAGGACTCACAAGGATTATCGAGTCCAACTCCTGGCACCACACAGTTCGACCCAAAAATTCAAAGGAAACTCTTTGGAGGGCTGCGAGACCTACAGAGCTGTCAGGTCAGGCCGTGAGCTAGCCCTTCACACAATTTAACCCATTTCTCTTTTGGCAGGCAGCAATAAGGGAAGGGAGCAAGGAACCAAGACTGTGGAGTCCCCAAGCTGCCCTGGGCAGCACTTTTGAACCAAGGAGACCCGAAAATGCAGGACTGAGCTCTCCCAGCCATCACCCGACACTCAAAGTTTCGATGCAACCTGGAGCTGGCTTTGTGTTTGGCCTCCTCAATGGCAGTGGAAGAGCGAGAAGACCTTTACTGGTTTTAAGCCAAAAGAGGCATTAGCTCGTCATAAAGACCTCAAATATTTTGGAGTCAAAGAGGTCGGTTTTCAGGCTCCAGAACTGTCAAAGGCTCTCAGGTCAAGAGACCTCTGGAAACTGTGCCGGCTGATGCTGGCCGCCTCCTATTTCATGCTCATGCCCTTTTAAACAGGGCTTCTTTTCCCAGTGAGGGTTTGACCCAGAGCACCGGGCAGCCCCTGGGAGAACTGCTGACACCGGCGGGCTCTGCATCACGCCGATGCTATTCCGGCTCCCTCCCCGCCACGGCCTCCCCTCGTTAGATGTCACAGCACGGGGACAGGCTCCTTCAAAGGCAGAGGGGAGAAAAGGAGGCCGCAACTGTGCTTTTCAAGCCAGTTCCGTGCAATCGTTGCCCTCTCTGAAGGAAGAACTTCTGAAAAAAAAAAGCTGGGACCGTGCTGCAGAACGTATCGTATCGCAGGCAGTCCCTGAGAACAGGACGTCCCTTTCCTGAGGTGCCTACTGCAAGCTCCCTAAAAAGCAAAGGCCTAAATCTAACGTCAATTCCTCGTGCTGACCAAAAGTGGGAGCTCCGCGGGCTGGTTTTTGGGGGAGGGTGAAACGCCGGGGTGACCTCAGCCAGATGAGCTAGCAATTAGTCATTAAAAAAAGTGATAACCAGGCCACAGGCCAAAGGCAGAAGAGAGGGAAGAGCGAGTACCTCAGGTGGACCTGGGCAGGGTGGGTTGCGGCCTGGATGTGGGGAAAGTCGCACCCAGAGCTCAGCATGGTCGTGGTGGGATGTGGGGCCATGGGGCCGGGTCAGGCCCTGCACAGCTCCCCCCACACACCCCAGGCCGCAGGGGAAAGGAGACCGACCACCCCACAAAAAAAAAGGGGCTGACAGGAGAGATCTGATCCCTTCTAACAGCCTCTGGGTCAAGCTAGCGCGTGGAAACGGGGCCAGCAGCAAGAAAGGTCCTCCTGGGACGAGGGATGTGAGATGAAGAGGCAGCAGGGAAGGGGATGGGACTACTCCGAGCAGCTGCGGAGATGTGGGGCCAGGGTCTGCACAAGGAGGTGCAGAGGGGATAGAAATGTTTTTCTCTTGAGGATACCTTCTCTCTCTGATCCACGTGTTAAGATTAAAATCTTTATGTTTTCCCCAACCTGACCAACTAGCAAGGCAGAAGACCATAAATCAAGGGCACTGCTGCTGGTATCCACCTGCACATCACAGACACTTTCTTGGCCCGACTCGGACCAACCCTGCCTCATCGGGGCCGCAGATCTGCCCCTGCCCTGCAGGGATGGCCGGCTACCGGGATCCATTCCACCCCCTTAGAAAACTTTTTGCAGCATCCATCTCCCACCGTCCCAAAGCTGCCAAGGTGGCTGATAAGTGCCGCATTCGCCCGAAAGGTCACTGCCTGCTGCCTGACCCCGCCGGCGGTGGGAGCAGTCAGAGGAGGAGTCCCGATGCCGCTGTCCCTTGTGACTAGGGCTGGGCTTTCCCGGCGGGGAAGGAAGGAGCTTTGCCACTCACCTAGCAGCAGGTTCATGAGGACCTCCTGGCCCGCCAGCGTGCTGCTCTTCACCAGGCAGATGAGCGTGCCCGCGATCCAGGGGATCCCGTGCCCCGTTATCCCCAGGAGGTTGATCATGGAGCGGGCGCCTCCCCAGGACGAGGCTCTGTTGGCGCACACTCCCAGCCGCTTGGACATGCAGATGTCGATGGCCAGCAGGGAGTTGAAGGCGATTCCCTTGAAGGAGGGGTTGAGCTGCATGCAGTCCTCTTCGGGCAGCTGCTGCGACTGCCTCCGCTCCTTGGGGCTGCTGTTCTGGGCGCCGGCTGCTCCCGCCTGGCCGCTCTGCTTCCTCCCCTGGCTCCTGCTCTCCTGGGTCCCTTTCAGGGGCTGGTTCAGGGAGAGGAACTCAGCCCTGTTCAGGACATTGTTCCTGTCTCGCGCCCTGGACCGCGGCTGGGATGCTGGCATTGCAGTCTCTCGCGAACGGAACCTGCTTTACAAACACCGGGACGCAGAGAAATCCCTCTTCTCCCTGCGGAAAGCTTCCCCCACTCCCACCCTCACGAGCTGGGGATTTGGGAAGCTACAAAGGTTCCCCTCTGTTGCAGTTGCCCCCAGCACAGACTGCAGCTGTTAAATATAGAGTAAGGAATGCACATGGCTGTTTACTTCATGGGCCTAGCAAGCTTGGAAGGAAAGTTAATGCCAGGCTTGGCAGCCACTCCAGTGCCAGGGAAAAAGGTTAAACAGCCAATAGATTGGAAGAAGAGGAGGGAAATGCTTTGTGCCAAAGGTTGGTTGCTTCTGGTCTGGTCTATTTAAATCTTCCAATTGCTTATTCCCCTGGGCTGCAAGGGAAACTGGGAAATGTAGTTTTTTTTTGGCACAGTAATTCATATTTTAGTATCAGCGCATCAGCACTGGAAGAGATCACGGTGCTGTGGTGGCTGCCAGGGCAGGCAATGCAGCCTGGCTCCCAGCCTCTGTGCTGGGCATCGCTTGGGGGCTTCCCTGCAAGGGGCCCGACCCGGCTATCTCCTGGTTTTGTCCGTCCTGCTATGTCTCACCCCTGCTAGGGCACCCTAAGTAATATTCCTTTCTCCCTGGCACGAACACCTCGCGAGCATCACCAGCCCCATCCTCTCCCCCCGCTCAGCACGCATCCCCGCAGCTCCTCCACCGCCACCCCTGCCCGCAGCCCGAGGAGAAGCAGCACCTGCCTCTTGATTAAAAGAGACGCGGCGCCGCTAATGAATTCCCATCCCCCTGCCCCCGGCGCTGAGCGTGCCCTAAATACCGCACACGTTTCTGCCGTGTCATCCAGCATCGCGGCTCCGGTGCTGAAAGCAGGTGACAGGCGCTGCCGCGTCCCCGAGCTGTGGCTGCGACCAGCAGCGGCCCCGTCGGAGCTGGCACCGGGGCTCGGCGAGGAGGAAGGGTCCCCACGGCACTGGGCTGGGTGCTGTGGGATTGTGCCAGGCCCTGGGGAGTCCTGCAGGGGGGTGAGGAAGGGATGAATATTGCACCAAGCAGCGGCACAGGCACTGCTCTTGGTTCCAGTGGTATTTACCTTCGTAAAATTATAAAGGTCAATATTAGAAGAGGTAACACTGGGAAACATCCACGTATCTTTGAAAGCCTTATCTGAAACCTACAGGAGAGCCTAAGTGCTAAATGGAGGGTGGTCCTGGCTTTCTAAGATAATAAAAACTTTGCACTTCCTTTGCACTTATTATCCCTTGGTTCCCAAAATACTTTAGCTGAGCTAGTTCTCTGCCCATGCCCGTCTGACAGACACAGGCCCAAAGAGGCTGCTGCAATATTTGGCCAAGAAAATCAGTGCTGGAAGTGCTGAGGAGCCTTTGCTCACCCTTGTGTTTTGCTTATGAACCAAAGGAAAATAATACACAGCAACCGATTTCTGAACCACATCCTCCGGGAACTTACCCCGAGCCTGTGATGATGACCGTAGCCGTGGGAAGAGCTCTTCCCCTCCTTCCCCAGCCCAGCACCACCAGCTCCTTTCAGCTCAGGCAGCAAATTATTGCTTGGGGCTGAGCCAGCCCAGCAGCACATGATGGTGCTACCCCAGCACCTACCAGCTCTTGCTTGCTCACTGCCTGCACAGCTGCATTCCTCTGCTATCAGGCAGGTCAGTGCCCCGTCCCTGTGTCCCCGTCCCCTGCTGCAGGGCTCTGAGGGACGTGGAAGATCTCAGCCCGCTTGACAGCGGCCAGTGTGATATCGGGACTATCGGGACTTGTGGCTGTACTATGCCATAGCTGTCACCTCCCTGCTGCTCAGCCTCACAGCTTCTGCAGCTCACAGCAGCACAGGGCGACTCGCAAGCAAGTGGCTGTGAGCAGAGGGTTAACGTGGTGGTGGCCAGGAGCTTGCAGAAATAGAAAGGCTCCTCGCCTCTCGTCCCCTCACCATGCCGGGGATGCTGAGCTATTACTGAGCACGTTCCCTGGGAGCTGTCACAGGGAAAAAATACCTTGAAAGCACTGGGAGCTCGTTTTGTCCGGTGCCTGTCTGTTCCTCTGACCCCTGAAGCAGGCACAGGGCGCTGCTCTGCCTTGCACACACCAGGGGCCAGCCCCGGCCACCAGTGGGGAAGGAGACGAGGAGGAAGCACAGCCCGGGGTGAATGCACTGCTAAATGCCCCTGTTGAAAGGAACAGGAGAGAAAACAGCTCGGTGTCCCATTTGTGGTGGTTATTTTCCCTTGCTATGGCTGATGAGGAAGGGGAGAACCTGCCTTTGGGGCAAACCTGTGGGGTTTATACAGCACCAGGTGGGCCACGCTGCCGGGGGAGCAGCAGCAGGAGTGGGCCCAGCAGAAGGAGATGCAACTCCCAGCATCGCCAGATGCTCCTAATTGTTACTTATCACAGCTTGGCCTCAAAAGCCAATCTCCAGCAATTTCATCAGCGAGCACCAGGCTCACAGGCACAGGAGCTGCTCTGCGCACAGCTTAGTGCAGCCGCTCTTGGGCGAAGTGCACTAATTCCTTAATCACACGATGGTGTGATGGAGATGGGCATGGCCAAAAAAACAAGGAAAGCTCCAGCCGAAGATGAAAAGCTGATTTAATTAGGCTGAGATAATGCAATTTCCTAGTTGACCAGAACACCAGAGATTGCCAAAGTTGAAGCAAGACCTGGCTGCAGCGGCGGTGAAGCTGGAGTCTCAGAACATGCAGCTTCACCCAACACATAATGCTCTGGGAAACTGTGATGAGCTTGTTTGAAAAGTGTGAAAGAGTCTTGGAGATGTCAAAGTATTTCAGCACCTTCTGGAGGTTGCTGAAGAAACTGGATTTTTTTCATTTGGAGATGCTCATTTCAGTCTTTTCCTGTACTTTGAGTTGTTTGTTTGCAACTTGAGCGCATTTTTAGTTTCTTTTTCTGTTGTGGGGCTAGGAACAAGGACGGTGCCCTTCTCAGAGATCCCACGAATCTTAACACAGATAAATATTTAGCCAATGCTTTGAGAAACACACAGAAGGAAACCATAATGTTACCCTATGGTTCGTCCACCCCCTGCCTCTCAATTTGCTTGGAGGGCTCTGTGAATGCCATGGCAGTGCCTCAGCCTGGAAAGGGCAGGAGGTGAGGACCCCGCAGCCCGTGCCCTTCATGGACAAGGCTGAGCATTGAGGGCAGGACCCCCCTGGGACCTCAGAGCCAACAGGAGCAGCCTCCCCTCATCCTGGGGCATTCTCCTGTCAGGATTACCCAGTAGCTCCAGTCCTTCCTACCTGCTGCAGGGCAGACAACAAGTGCACGGATGCTGCAAAACGCCACGCACTGTGTGAGCTAATCCTGCTTGCTGTGAGCGTGGGGCAGGAGGAAATAAAGGACACTTTGCTCTGTGCAAAGCCATCCTTCCTCCTCATTCCCCCAGGTTTCCCACTCAGAAAAGAGTCAAGGTGCATGCACGTGGAGCTGTGAGGATGCTCAGCACCCTGCAGCTATCGCTGAGCGCCCCAGCACCCACACCTCACCCGGTGCTGAGCTCTCTGCAAGCCACGGCCTCGGCTGGGTGATGGTCAGCAGGCAAGGCCAGCCGCAGGGCTCCTCAAAACATCCGTGCCAGGGGTTTACAACTTCCCCACAGGCCACTGCAACCTCGGACACCTCTCAGCACCCGCTCCTCTGTCCCTTTGCTGCTGCCAAGAGCATTTCTTTGCATTTCTGGTTGCTGGAATCGCAGCTCAGCCAGCCCAGAGCTGCAGGTTTTGCATGTAGAGAGGCTGTGCCTGCACTGGATCTGTCAGCCAAGCTCCAGCTGGGGGAGAAAAACCTTCATCTGCAGAATGAAGAGAAAATACATGGCATTTAAGCAAGAGGGAAGGAGAGGAAAAAAGAGAGAAGGAGGGAAAGAGATGAAAGAAGAAGAGAGAAAGGAGGCGAGCAGGAGAGAAAGAAGGGGAGAGAGAAAGGGAGAAGGGGAGCAGGGGGGAGCCCGTATCTCCAAAAAAAAACTACATTACCCACAAGCCGCAGCCGCGTGGGAGGAAATGCTGCTCTGCAAAGGAGGGCTAGCTCCAACAGCTGCAGTTTAAAAGAGAAACCCAGGGGGAGGGATGGGAGGGAGGGAGCGGCGGAGGGCGGCCGGCAGGGGCAGGGGGGGCCCGGCCGCTGTCCTGCTGCTCGCCGGGGCGGCTGCGGGGCGCGGATGCCCGGGGAGGGGGGGGGACAACGGCGGGGACCAGGGGGCGACTTGCGGCAAAGTTTGACCCGGCCGCGATGCCTCCGGTGCTGCCGGTGCAGGGGGAGCATCCCCCGCCCCGCTCCCCCCTGCTCCGCCGCAACCCGGCGCCGTCCCCGGCTGCATGAGGAGCGCGGGGCGAGAGAGGAGGAAGCTTGCGGCAGCCAAGAGGCGGAGGCACCGATCCTGCTCCTCTCACCCCCCCACCCCCCCCGGGTACACAGCGGAGAAGGCGAAGAGAGAAAAAAAAAAAAAAAAAAAAAAAAATCCATCGCTGAAGAGCCTCCCCCCCCACCCCTTTTCCTCCCTCCTTCCCTCCCTCCCTCCCTCCCCAGCCACCCGCCCCTCTCCCGGCTCTGCTCGCCCCCGCAGCGGTGAGCCCGGCAGCTCGCCGGGGGCTCGGCGGGATGCTGGGGGGGAGCCCCCGGCCCGCAGCACCCCCCCGTGTGCGGGGCAGCCCCGGCGGCAGCCCCTGAGCCCCGCAGGCTGAGCCCGCAGCAGCAGCAGCAGCAGCAGGAGGAGGAGGAGGAGGAAGGTCGGACACCCCTGCGGACGCCGCTCGCCCAGGAGAAGAAGGAGGAGGAGGAGGAGGAGGAAGGCCGGACCCCCCCCCCCACCCCCCGGGATGTCACGGGAGGCGATTGTGCAGCGCTGAGCGGCCCCAGGGCGGGGGCAGCGGGGGGGGCTCGCCGCCGCCTCCTGCCCCGCCGCACAGCCCCGCCGAGCGCCGCCGGGATTTATGGTGCCGGCTATTTCTAAGGGGGAAGGAATTAACCAAAAAAAAAAAAAAAAGAAAAAAAAAAAAAAAGAAGGAGAGGGAAAAGAACCGACCCGAAGCCCCTGAAGCCCTGACAGCGCTGGCGGAGGAGCTTCCAAAATCGAAGATTGGGCTACTTTTTTTTTTTTTTTTTTTTTTTTGCATTTTCCACCCGTCGCCTTTTTTTTTTTTTTTTTCTGTTATTATTGTAATTTTGTGCGAAAGGAAGTTGTGAACAACTGCAAGTCAGGAAGTGGAAATCCACACCGGTTGTGACAAGCTGGGGCTAAAAACTATTTCATTATTTATATATATGTGTCTATCAACATTCTGCTTTTCATCCAAAGAATAAAGGGAAATACCGGCCAGTCCGATGTCTGACGGGGAATGACAGACCGCATCTGAGAAAAGGAAGGACTAAATATACCATCTAAGAACAACACCGTTATTTATTGAACTCGAGAGACTTTTCTTTTTTTTCTTTTTTAACCCAAAGACTGTTTGAGTGAACGATTTAAAGGGTCATTAAAAGGGAAAAAAAAAATAATTAAAGGCCCTTTTGCTTCTGAAGTGCAGCTAACCTCAAAATAGGAGCAGTGCTTGTAAGACAGATACTCAAATTAAGGCTTTACATGATGAATTTTCTATCCTATGGATATCGGTTCTGAGATTACAACCCAAGAAGATCTGTAATTGATCTAGCACCAGATAATTTCAATGCCTAATATTCCCCAGGATTGCTGGAGTACCCTAGGAGCTGCGTTGGACTGTATTCAGGGTATGCCATGGGCTGTATTCAGAGTATTAGCTGCAAATCCAAAGTTTTCCGGGAAAGTATTTCAGTGATTGAAGTCAAAGCGTCCATCGATCCCATTCCCACCAGCATCGACGAGTCCTCCAGCGTGGTCCTGCGCTACCGGACCCCTCACTTCCGAGCCTCTGCGCAAGTGTTGGTGCCCCCCATCCCCAAGAAGGAGACCTGGATCGTGGGCTGGATCCAGGCGTGCAGCCACATGGAATTTTACAATCACTACGGGGAGCAGGGCATGTAAGTATTTCCAGAGCGCGTGCGGGGGCATTTGCCTAAGGGGAAGGAAGAGCAGGAGAGCCACGGCCTGGCTGGGGAGCGCTGGGTTAAGCCAAAGTCAATAACCCAGTTGGTTTGATATTAAAAGCCAGCTCTTCTGAAACTTAACAGGACTTTCTCCTACGCTAAAAAAAAAAAATAATAAGGAGAGCTTGTGCCTGCACCTTTTAAAGCAGTGGGTGTCCTTCTCTTCTAAGGGGAATGTACTCAAGCGCTAACCCCAAAATGTGCTCCGTTGGTGACCCAGAGCAGCACCATATCTCCCAAAAGCTTTTGAGCAGCACTGCTGGGGGGGCTGAAATCCCAGGTCTGCGATCCCAGGTCTCCCTCAACCCTGCGAAGGGCACCCCCGCTCTGAAACACCCTTGGCACGAGGGGGGGGGACCCTGAGCGCCGGCTCCTCTCCTCTGCATCCCTCCCCGGCTCAAACTGCGCATTGACGAGCCCCGGGGAAGCCCGGAGGCTGACACTTGTGGCACGCCGTGCTGCTGCTGCAGTGTGCCATCAGCGGCCAGCGCCACAGCCCCCAGCTCTGGCAGCTGCACGTTGACAGCGCAGGAGGAATCCTGCTCGCTTTGGGGAGCCCGCATGGAGAGAGCAAAGGGGATTTAACCCCCCTGATGATTTAACCCTTTGCATCACCTTGGAGGAGGGTCAAAATTTTATGTGAGCCTCATTTTGGATAATGTAAGAGGGAGAATGTGCACGTCTAGGTAAGGTAGGAGGAAAGTAGGGGCTGTTTGCACTCCAACCCCCCCGTGTTGCTGGTCAGACAGTCATAGCGAGGCAAGAATGAGTCAAATTAAAATGTCACCTCCCTGCTGCGAGGAGTCCTCCCCCCCCCCGGTACTGCTCCCCCGCCGGTTTGCTCACCAACCGTCCTTGCAGGCTTTGGCCCACGGTTACACCGGCAGCAGCCGCTCGCCAAATGCCTGCACAGAGCAGCGATTCTGCAGCTCACGGTGCCAGGCAGCCTGCGGGTGCAGCAGGGACCTGCCCGGCCCCACAGCCCCCTGCCTGCAGTGGGGTCACTGGCTGGGGGCCCCGATGCTGCCCAGCCTCGGGGAGCACGGAGGAAGGATGCAGAGGCCGGGTTTAAGCAGCCCTCCTGGCTGCTAATCCCCAGGGCGCTGCGGGAGGGGGATGCTGGCTTGGCCGCTCACGAGTCATTCACATAAAAAATAGAGGAATAGGGAGGGCTGAGAGAGGGTGGGAATGCGGAGGGCTAGAGAGCAGGGCAAACTCAGACGTGGTGCAGTGCCTTCCTGGAGGCCTGAGCATCTGCTCTGCGTGCGCATCCCAGCCCTTGCCTGCCTTCTGCCTGCAAGCCCAGATGCAGGCAGAGGTTCAGCAGCTCAGGCACGGAGCAGATGCGTGTTGGAAGATGCAGGCCGTGGGGAAGGGCACACCAAGGAGCAGCTATAAGCCACAGACTGTTCCCACCCCATCCCCGTGTCCTCTCCCTGCTCAAGCAGAAAGTGCCTCGAGATGCAAACTCCAGCACCTGGCAAAAGCAGGAGCCGTAAGGGAGCAGAGGAGCTTACCTTGATGCTAGAAGTACTTACAACAGGCCTGAGATCTGTAGGCTTTTTGGCTCCAAAACCATCTTCAGCAAGGACAATTTGTTGCTCAGATGTTCCCAGTTCCAGGCCTTCGGGATTTGCATGTGTAATTCTCGGGCTCATTTAGAAGTCCTGCCTTCAGCAAGCAGCTGCAAGGAAAACAGAAAAGTCCGGTGTGTATAAATACAGCTCGCATCCACTGGAATAAGGAGGGCAGGGCAGAGAGCTATTTAGACAGTGCTGCTGTGGATCGCAACCCCAGGCATGTTGCTTTACTTCTCTGCACCCAAGTTTCCCTATTTTTAAGGGAGGATTTGGTACAGTCTTCCCTTGCTGGAATGCTTTGAGAGCCATAGACAAAAGTTTCAGCCAAAAGCTGTAAACAGGTAGTCAGAATTAAACACTGCAGATGTGTAGGAGAGCCATTATCCAGAAAGTCGTGGAAGCAGAAAGATTTCTCCCTGGGAGGTTCAGGCACATTTCACTGATACCGAAGAGCTGCCCAGCCCCAATTCAGGATTGGCCTGCTCCTCCACCCGGCTTCTTTACATGTGTCACCATCGGAAAGCTGTAAATAAAGGTGATTGGGAAGAAAGGCCTCTTTCAATGCCATCGAAACGTACTCTTGGGAGACCTCTATAGAGCCAGGGACAGGACACAAACCTGTCTGAAAGGGTGGGCCTTCAGCTGATGCAAGTCAAGATAATTCCACTGACCTCCATGGAGCTGCATTGATTTATGCCAACGGACTGCTTGTCCCAGCTTTCCATGATGAAGAGACACCACTGGAACAATGTTTTTATTATTATTATATATTTTTTTTAAATTACTGTGGTAACAGGTAAACAGAAAACTCCAAATAAATGCCATCAGTTGGTCCACCTGGGCTTCAGTGCTTAGAGCAGGCTTCAGATCCATTTTTCACTCCTGCCCGCTGCAGTTGGTGGCTGTGCACAAGCTGCCCTTACGCTGAGGACAGAAACAGCTGAGAAATACTGGAGCAGATGGAGCTGTGCATAAGACTCATATACGGATGTTAGATACAGAGGGGATAATTTCGACACGCGTTTAAAGCTGCACTGACAATTTTTTGGCTAAATGCAGCGTTTTTAAATGGAAGGAGAGGAAAATAACTAAAGCTCAGCTCACGCATAAATGCTGGGGTTATTTTGCCTGTAAGTCTGTGCTGGCAGGAACACGAGCACCCTTGGCAGGAGGAAGTGGAAGCACTCTCTGACCTCTCTCAATGCAGAACTGGGGAAAACCCCCAAGTCCCAGTGCTGCCGTTACTGCTCACCCTGAGCAGGGTTTTACCCTCAGCAGCACCTTCCTCCCCCAGGGAGGCACAACATGGGGCATCAGGATCAGGCCGCAGAGGTCCAGCCCGCACGGGACCAGCAGGACCCAGCTCTGGGCAGCATCTCCTGGGCACCCTGTGGGACCCACGTCAGCGTTGGGGACGGCATCACCCAGTCGTGCTTCTTCATCTCCATGGAGACGTGCGAGGAGCAGCGCAGATGGTGATATGCAAAACAGAGCGAGAAATAAATCAGAGTTTGAATGCAATCAGCTGAGAATCTTGGGAAGTTTCAGGTAGATTTGCTCCCCCGGCAGGCTCACCAGGATGGCTGGGCAGCACTGCATCGTCGCTGCAGCTTAACGGGCATCTCTCTCCTGCGAGATTAAATCTTCCATGCCCTGCAGCAGAGAGACAATGAACTCGAGAAAGCGACTTGTCAAAAGAATAGAGCCCCGGTCCTTGGAAGGGAAAACAGCCAAAAAAAGGATTCACCAAAAAAATGATTTAAAAATTGGTTGCATTGCCCAGCTGAGGACAAATCACTGTAGCTGCCCC